ACCTCCCTCCTTCCGTTGTGCCCAGAGACCATCGAGACCACACGTCCACCGTGACCTGTTGGGAACCTGCCAGTCAAACGAAAGGTCTCCCTTAGCGAATGCAGGCAGCGCCCGTCGGTTGCTAACTCGCGCGGTCTTACGCGGAGAGAATACTGCTAGGAACCTCCTGGTTACACCAGCCCACAGGGGATTATTGTGTCCGTCCGTCGTGCAGGGAGGGGCTGGGTGGGGAGAGAGGGGCTGGGTGTGGAGGGGCTGGGTGGGGAGGGTGGGGCTGGGTGGGGAGGGGATAGTGGGGAGGGTGGGGAGGGGTTGGGTGAGGAGGGTAGGGCTGGGTGGGGGGTGGGAGGGGTGGGGCTGGGTGGGGAGCGGCTGGTCACCCCGTGGTGCCCTTATAAAACTCAACGTTTAACCTACTCACGCCGGCTTGTGCCCGCCCTCACAGTCGGGCATATTTGCGGAATACACCACGCCGCCGTTGACCCTGGCCACTGACCGAGCAACCCAACGTTCCTACCAGCTCCTTCCGTAGGAGTGTGTTGTCTGGTGTCAACGTCGGTAAATACACGAAATGATATAACGCGGTTTACGTGAGTGAGAGTGTTGAATCGATCTGTGCGGAACTCTCAGTGGCATCCTCTATGATGCGTGTGAGTTGGGTTTTTTTTTTATCCCCCGGGTTCTCAGGTTTCTTTCCACATACCAAGGGCTTATTTTGTCGTCACCATCATCAACAACATCGGCGATGACAAAGGGAATGTTTTATTGACATCATGATAATGAGTGGCATCCAGTACTTTATCGATGCCCATGCTCTCGTCTGCTGTACAAATGAAGGAGTTTCGAGGGTGCCGTAGGGATGGATGCGAACAACTCCAAACCACTGGGACCGTCCAGTTAGAAAAAAATACAGGAATGTCCACTATGACTCATTCCTCGGAAACGTCTCTAAATTTCACACAGTCCCCTCCGAAAGCTCTTAACTTCATATCAGAATATTTATTCTTATAGGAGGAATCCGATGAGCGATGAAGCTCTTTTTTCACAGATGTCCAGTAGGAGCAGGTCAGAACGTTCCAACAATATAAACACGATATAAGTGCAAAGTAGAAGAAATGTTAGCAAATCACTTGAAAAAATAAATAAATAAAACTAAATTATGTTATTTCACCAGGTAAGGCCCACTGAGCTATTAGCTTATTTTTCAGAAGCGACCTGGCCACAAATGATAACTCAATGAAGTGGCTTATCACGTGGACATTTCTAGCAGCTGAATAATCTAAACGCATGTTTACAAATACAGTATTGCTGTTCCTGCCTGCTATTCACACCATCAGACGCGTCTCTGTGCACGTGACAATGGGTAAGTATCTTCTTGGTTCTTTCAGTAAAGTCACGTAGAAGGGAAATAATAAAATAATAAAAATAAAACATAATAAAATAATTCTCACGACGTTTCGGCCACAACGCAAGCAGCCGTCCTCAGGTGAAGACCATGTCTGTCGGGGAGACAGCATCTGAATGACCTGGTCTTCACCTGAGGACGGCTGCTTGCGTTGTGGCCGAAACGTCGTGAGAATTATTTTATTTTATATTATTTTATTATTTCCCTTCTACGTGACTTTACCGAAAGAACCAAGAAGATGAATCCCTGCAGTCACGAAAGCTTTAAATCGAAATGGGTAAGTACTTACAACAATGGAAGTCCCGGGGCTTGCCGTGATAGGTAACGCTATCTGCCATCGATAGGCAGCATTCTTCTGCCACGTGCACTACTCACTGACCACACAGTTGCAGAGTCACGTGCTGGGCAGATGCTCAACACCACCGCCACCCATCCCGTGCTGCCTGCATATTTTTGGCGTGACAGATTCAGAATATTTATTTCTACTGGAGGAATCTGATGAGCTATGAAGCTATACAGCTCATTCATCGATGGTAATAATCGATGAATGGACGCGTCGTTATCATTCACGCGTCACTTGTCGGGACAATGCAGGAGGAAATACATCCATTAATCGATGACGATTAATATTCTAATTATCCATTCTAAAGCTAAATTATGGGCGCATTAAATCGCGCGTCAGATTTTACCGCTTAACGATGTGTATTCGTACTCTTAGGTTTTTTTCGGTAAAGTCACGAAAGCTTCAAATCTAGAATTGATGTGTATTCGATTAATTCTAGATTTGAAGCTTTCGTGACTGCAAGGATTCATACTCTTAGTTCTTTCGGTAAAGTCACGTAGGTAAAAAATGAAATAAAAATTAATAAAAATAAAACAATAAAAAATCACGACGTTTCGGAGGCAACACAAGTCTCAGTCATCAGGTGGCACCTCATTTTTTACCTACGTGACTTTACCGAAAGAACTAAGAGTATGTGTATTCGATTACTTTGCGGGCAGCAGTGGGCAGTGCATTGCTGCCGCACCTCGACTTGTGCTTCTGTGCTACCTACATCTGTGTTTCCCACCTTCACTGACCCGCGCTGACCGGCGTGGTGAAGTATGGCCAAACAACTCCCCCAGACCGACGCGGCGATGGGAGACCTCGTGTCCAGCAGACGACGAACAAACGTCGTGAGAATGATTTTATTCTGTTTTATTTTTCTTATTTTATTATTTCCTTCTACGTGACTTTACCGAAAGAACCAAGAAGATGAACAAAGGGCTGTGATGATTTCCATTATTTTGACACATTAGTCGTAACGGATGCTGCAGAGGTGTTAATGGTCAGCAACACCCTTAAAATTTGCAATCGTGGAGCGCCTGTTCCATTCCACATTCTGGCGCAGCAGTTGAAACAGTGGTGGAGGTTTCTTAAATTCTCCTCCGATCGCCTCTGTTACACGCAGCACTGTGTCAACTACGATGGGAATACTGTTAGGTTTTTTCGGTAAAGTCACGTAGGTAAAAAAGAAAATTAAAAGTTAATAAAAGTAATAATGGAAATAAAATAAAAATTATAAATCACGACGTTTCGGAGGCAACACAAGTCTCCGTCATCAGGTGGGACCGTCACAGCTAAAATTACTGCATCATGATTTATTATTTTATTTTTATTTTATTTCCATTATTACTTTTATTAACTTTAAATTTTATTTTTTACCTACGTGACTTTACCGAAAAAACCTAACAGTATGAATCCTTGCAGTCACGAAAGCTTCAAATCTAGAATTAATACGATGGGAATGCTACGTCTGGTGGGGTAAAACGTGGGTAATCCCACCCCCTTCCAAGACGTTGTGGCCAGCGTTGAGACGTAGGCCAAAATACTCTGGTAAGATGGTCTATCTCTCTCTGCATGTTATGTGTATCGTTTATTGTTAAGCTTGAATCACAGTTCCTATGATCACTGTTACATTGTTTTTTATAGCTTTATTTTAGGTGATTTCGAAAACTTATGGTTATGCCATGTTTGTTTGTTGTAGTACGGAGTTAGCCTGATAACTTTAATCTAAATTGTCTTCTGGTTGTTATTGTTTGACTTGCATCCCACTGGGATGTTTGCACACAGCGTTGATATACGGTGCGTTTTTTCTGGAAGATCTTGCTGGTTTTTCCTGAATGTTTCTGTTGCGCGTAGTCACTTTAAGATGTTCTTTGTTCATGTTTTTGTTGCGGTTGCACCCGAGTCAAGAGCCGCATGGCTCACAGGGCTATTACCTAATACATGAAATGAAGCTGAAACTCTAGAGGTGGCTCGCATTAAACGGGAATCGAATTGTACCCAGGCTCAAATGAATATCGACGAGTAATCGTTTCGCGCACACACCACGAGTTGATGGTGGCGGCGGACGATAAGAGCTGGCAGTGTTCATGATCTGTGACATCTATTCCGACTCGCCACTAACGCTACTCCCCATCAGTCCCCCCCCTCCCCGCCCCATCCACCTCGCTCATCTGAATGAGTCAAGACGCGCGGCTGCACGTGGTGTGAATATGATCTCGTAGACAACGAGGGCTTTCACAATGCCATTTGTTTCACTGGCAAATGATGGCACTCCTCTAGGTGAGCAATTCCCAGTGACGATTTCATGCGTTATGGTGTGCGCACACGTGCATGCGTTGGTTATGATGATGATGCGGTGATGGTAAGATGGTGAGGATGATCATTGTGATGATATGAAGGTGGTGATGATGACAGTGGTGATAATGATTATTGATGGTAATGATGTTGGTGGTAGTGGTGGTGATGATGGTGGTGATAAAATTATTATAGATTATAATTATGTTGGTAATGATGATTATATTATTGATTGTAATTATGTTGCTGGCGATGATGATGATGGTGATGATGAGATTGTGATTATTATTATCATATGATGTTCATTGTGGTAGTAATGGTGGTGTATTAATGAGGATGAATGGTGGTGAGGATGCAGTTACGATGATGATGATGGTGGTGGTGGTGATGAGATTGTGATTATTATTATCATATGATGTTGATTGTGGTAGCAATGGTGGTGTATTAATGAGGATGAATGGTGGTGAGGATGAAGTTACGATGATGATGGTGGTGGGGTGATGGCGGTGATGTGCTCTGCTCGTCTTGTGATTCGCTAGGCACGTCCCCATGGCTTCATTCAAACTCTTTGAAAACTTCAAAGCGTGGAGCGTACCATCTCTCGCAGGGGGGTATAGCTCTTCTCCGCATTCATTAAAGCGGACAAAACGACACCTTCTCAGATCAATGCTCGGCTTGTCGCCTAGCCGCTTTAATGCCAGGCGGAGGGAGTTCAAAACCAAACGGGAAAGAGAGACAAGGCCGACGTGAACACGGCGTGCGGTCGAATGTGTGACATGCACCACGAATCTCGGGCAAAACACGCGACAAATTCCCCCCCCTGCAATAACGCGCCGATGGACGAGTCCAAAGACCCGGTCGAGAATCGCAGAGTTGTAGGATTCCGGAGTGCACTGCTGCGTGCGTTTTCGAGATTCAGGTGAACTAAGCCGAGCCACCAACACGAGAAGACGATCTATTTGAAGACGGGGGGGATCGAGTTGGGGGGTACAATCACGTTATGCGGGACAGATCCTCTCTCTCACTAACGATCCTGTTTTTTTTAACACTCCGGAATCCACATCGCTACAAATCCGTTGCGGGTTTCGCGGCCTCCCGGATGAGCCCCGCGTCCAGGGCGAATACGCAAGGGCCAGGAGTTACTTTCATTTTTTTTTTGGTCGTTCGACAAACTTGGCTGAGGACGCACGGAGGGACGCACGGAGGGAACGAGCCGAACGACGCAGCTCCAGGGCCTCGGAGTCGAACTCGGCCAGGGGGTGGTGGTGGTGGTGTGTGTGGGGGGGGGGGGGAGGGTGAGGTTTCTTCACTCCTTCGAGCGCATTTGCAGAGCGAGACGAAGGCGACGGCGGCATCCATCATCTCCATCGTCTTCCCCCCCTCCTCATCCTCCATCCCGCATCGCTTGATTATTTATTTACGTTCTCGCTCTACCCCTCACCACGCACGAAACAGCCACAGACACCTCCAAGCTTTGCAGAGGTAAACGGCGAAGAGAACGAGAGAGATCGAGAGAGACGAGAGGGGTGAAAAGAAAGACTTGAGAGAAGAGAGGGGTGGGTGAGTGGAGAGACGAGAGAGACTGAGAGAACGAGAGAGGAGTGGATGAGTGAGTGAGTGGAGAGGCGAGAGAGACTGAGAGAGAGAGCGAGCAGAGAGCGTTGGCTGTGTGTGTGTGGAGGGGGAGGAAGGTAACAGGCGAGAGAAGAGCCTGGAGAGAGTGAGGTGATGCCAGAGGTAGGAGGAGCAGGAGGAAGAAGAAGAAAAAGAACAGACGGCATGATGGCGCGGATGAGAATGTGCGCTTTCCAACCCGTCATGACCACCGCGTTCGCCGCATTCGTCTGCTGCCTCTCTTCGCTGCCCGGCGAATGCCGTGGGGGGGTCACCGAGGTGACCTCTATGGTGGATCGTGCGAGACTCCTGGCCGAGCACATGAGAAAACTTTCCACGGAGGAGTTGGGGGTGGACACCTTGCAGGTGAGAGTCGCCATGCCTGGTTGTCTAACGAAATCGATCTTTGTTGCACGTGTGCCCATCGGGGTTGCAAGACGCGGCGTCAATGTTTTAAGAGGCTCTTTTTTTGGGGAAGGGGCGTATTATAATCCGGTAGTTGTGTGTGTGGCTGTGTGTGGCCAGATTTGTGTAATTGTCACTGAGAGCGCAGGGTTTCGCAAGCCAATGTTGGGTTTTTTTTGGGGTTGTTTTGGGATAAGCCAAGTAAATAAACTGGTCAAATGTGCGTCGTTAAGACATGTGTTTGGCCGTGTCGGGTGGTGGAGGGTCTTGACGACACGTTCGGCCAAAGATCATTCGCGTGGCCTTAAACTCCAGTGTGTTGTGGCGTGCAATGTGCAACTCCACAGTACGTGCCGGGCACGTTGGCTTTGGTTTCGACTTATAATCCGGATTAAAACGAATAACACTTTGTGTGCTACTGGCTGAGGACTCTTGAGAGCTCTTTCGGAAACGTGCAGCCGATGTTGGTGATTGTTGTTGTTGAGCCATTAGCGATTTGCAACCAATGTGGCATTGGGTTCGTGATTCAAGTCGCTTCCGTCTAATCCATTCCAGGGAAGCATGGTAACTCGTAAAGTTGAACAACCGGTTCATTACACCCTTACCGCATGCTCACGTCGCTACAGTTTTAGGGAATTGTTCAATAGGTTATTGGCAGACCGGCTAAATAGAATGTTCCAGAAACTTGGAGATACAAAACCAGAGCAAAATTTACGAATGTCTTTACAATTATGTAAACCGGTTTCTCGGCTCGCATTACCGCTCATTGAATACTTCAGAGTACACACACGCACATACACGTGTGCTGGAAAAGCATTACACCAATCCATGCGTGTGCATGATTTTACCAACGTGTTTTATTATATTCCTGGTTCTTTCGGTAAAGTCACGTAGGAGGGAATTAATAAAATAATTTAAAATCTTGTTTTATTATTTCCCTTCTACATGACTTTACCGAAAGAACCAAGAATATGAATCCCTGCAGTCACGAAAGCTTTAAATCAAAACGTGTTTATTGTTGTTGTGGTGGTGGCGGTTGTTGTGGTTGTTTTTTAACCGAGGGGGGGGAGATCGGTTGGGGTGGTGGATGAATAAGACACGTGGGAAGGAGGGGGGAGTGGTGGCCAAGATGAGTTCAGTAATTCAACAACAAAAATCAGTCTTCCTTGTTGATGGTGCTTCCCGTGTTGGCATTATAAGCATCGTTGTTGTAGGAGTGTGGTGCGACGTCCGTCCCCCCTCCCGGCCGCATGGATTGCTGACTCCATCTGTGCGGAGTTGCGAGCGTTCTCGCCTCGTGCGTCTGCACGTGGTGGATTTTCTCGGCGGCTGCCTCCGATTTCCCGACGCCCACGTGTGATGCTTCCAACACTCGCGGATTGCCATGAGCCGAACATCACCAATCGGCGTTGCAGGGGGGGCCTTCTTATTCTTCTGAGTCTCAAGACGTTCGTAACGTAGACCTCAAACCACATTGTTCCAAGTGAGACCCGGATTTGAATGATTACTCGGTAGAGCAAGCGGCGAAACATCGCCCGCGTCCAGACGAAATGCTACCAGTGGGAGCAGCCAGGCCATCACACGCAAGAACACACGTGTGTGTGCACACGCAAGAACACACGTGTGTGTGCACACGCAAGCACACGCGTGTGCACACGCAAGCGTGCACACACAAGTGTGTACGTATGAGCACGCACATAACAGGTTATCGTACACACACACACGCGGTGCACGGTTACATAAAGACACAATTACCTATGGAGGAATGCACGGACACAAAAACACACGCAAATAATACATAAGCAGGAACGCAGGGGTACAAGGCTAAGACAAGGGTCCTCAGCCTTTACCCCCTTGGCTCTCAATCGTTTAAATAATGTTAATACATACACAGGGTTTGATGAAACAAAGTAAGTTACACGTAAAGTAAGTTACACGTAATGCGTATTTTCGATGATTTACCGTCTAAAAAAAATCTGCCCATGCCTCGCACCCCCAGAAAGGGCATCTCACGCCCCAAGGGGTGTGCGTGCACCCCAGGTTAAGAAGAACCACTGCCCTATAACCTTAACAGACGGCTGGGGTAAGTGCTGTTAGCGAGCACCTATTAAGGCCAGTTCGGTACACGAGGGGGTGGTGTGGCCAGCACCACGTTCGACCGGCAGCATTTGTCTCACCGGAACTCGTTTATGGTTGAGTCGACCTAGGGGAGGCCCAGGACCGGTTCCGATATTCATAATTGGTCAACGATATTGGCTGCGGACGGGGAATCGAACTCTGCCGCTAACCTCTGCGCCACCCCCCCTACGCTCTCACACGTGATGACCGTAACACAATCGCACGAGCACACACGCATGCGTGTGTACACACACATGCGTGTGTACATGCAGGTCTCTGGAGAGCCCCGTGAGCATTGAATTAATTGAAAGCTCAACACACTCGTCAACAACAGTGCCCTTAAAATATGTAGCAATAAGCGGCGATTTGGCCAAGGGCCCTCTTGATACATATGTTGCACTCATTTCGCACCGCACGTGGCCAACTTATGTGTGCCGTAAAACCACGTGCTTTAATTTTCGAGAGAGAAATGAGAAGTGTTCCAATGGGCGTTGCGTCTGAAATCGTCTTGCGCTCAACTATGGGAACATCTGGCAGCATTGTTTGAAGCCTGGCCAGACTGCTGGTGAGGGGACGCCGAATATCGCAACCGCTCTAGAGAGCTTGCTTGCATAGAACCAATGTTGTCAATAACAACAACAACAAACGTAAGGTCTGTGTGGTCGATGGGTTGTTGTCCAACGATGTCGTTACGTGTAGAAATAACTACGGGCAGTCGTGGGTTGGGGGGGGGGTGTGATTAGACGAATCCTTGAGTCCTTGGAGATGTTATTCTTTGGTTCTTTCGGTAAAGTCACGTCTAAAGATAAAATAATAAATTAAATAATACCATATTACGACGTTTCGATTGCAACACAAGCAATCATCATCAGGCATAAAAGAAATAGCAACAAAAATCTAACTAGAAAACTAGACAGACATACACGCAGACAGACATCACAAGGACACACAGAGAGAGAACACAACGGCACAAAGAGAGAGGTCGTTTCTATGACGGTCCCTTAAATATAGAGAGGGGAGATGGTTGGTCTCGGGGCTAGTCGTGGGACTGGGGAGTGTAGCCCCCATCACAAACGGGTCCAGGCAGTCGACTGGGCATGAGCGGCGACTCCTCCCCCACTACCGGGTGGTGGGCGAGACCCGCTACATCGTCAGTCACGTCATCTTCACCTGGGGGAGGGAGTGCGGCGGCAGAGGAGGAGGACGGACGGGACGGACTTTGTAGCGGGCAAAGGTGAAGAGCGGTGGCGCGGTGGTTAACGCGCCTGCGCTCTGAGCCCGCACCGCCCGAGTGAGAATGACTCTGGGCAGAGGTGGGACAAAGTCATTGTTATGCAAGTCCAAGTCGAGTCTGAAGTCATCAAATTCATGACTCGAGTCTGACTCGAGTCCAAGTCACATGACTCGAGTCCACACCTCAGAGGTGGGACAAAGTCATTGTTACGCAAGTCCAAGTCGAGTCTGAAGTCATCAAATTCATGACTCGAGTCTGACTCGAGTCCAAGTCACATGACTCGAGTCCACACCTCTGACTCTGGGCCACCACGGCTGCGTTTGCGTGGCTCCGGGGAGGCATGCATTGCATATAGGACATTCGGTGCATGTGAAGCAAGCTTCCAGCGAACGTCAAACGGGCGGCTGAGTGGCTCACGCGCATGTGACTTGCGTCCCGCACTCGGCCTCTGCATCGCATCCCCTGCGCCTGTCTGACTTGACTCGGAATCGAGAAGGGGTTTGCTGTGAGCAACCTCCCAAAACATTTGACGCCAACCTGGTTGCACGGCTAACATCAGTGGCGAGTGGTATCCCAATCAGCCGTGACCTCTCCACCCCCGCTGCCCCCCACTCCTCCCACCGCCTTCAAGGTGGCGAGATGTTAAATACCTCGCCTGGTATGCAGGAGGTGGTTGATTCGATCCCGACCCTGACGCCTGCTGCTGTATATTTGCGGATTGCATGTCTCTCTCCCCGTGGTCGCGTGGATTTTTCTCCGGGTTCCTCTGCCTTTTTTTTTTACCCCTCCACACTTAGAATCAACGTGCGATTTAGAGTATTTAGCTAATGCTATACATTTATACGTGCTCAGCCACTTGGTTGAGCTATCATTTGTGGCCAGGTCGCTTCTGAAAAGGAGCTATATAGCCGACTGGGCCCTTAACTTGTAAAATAGAAAGTTAGTTTCAAACCCGCACCGCCCAGCGTTGAAGTATCCAGCAGTGGATTGAGAAAGGTCCGCTGAATTATTACCGCACTTGCCCTTGTAATTTTAAAGCAAACGTTGGTGGTGCGTCTTACAATCCGGTAGGAGCGTTTGTGTGTGTGTGGTGACGTCACCGCCACTTCGTGGTGAACGGGCGGTTGTTGTTATTGTTGTTGTTGTCCAGATCTGGACTCTATAACTTAATTGACCCTGGGCGCAGGTTTTGGGGGGAAAGGCGGGAGGAGGGTGGTGCGTCTTGCTCTCCGGAGCATCTTATAATCGGGTAATATTTGGAGGTTGGCAAGAGCTGAGACCATGGGCCAAGACAGAGAAATGTTTACATCCATGCAGTGGTTTCTCTTGCTTTTTCAATCGAGTGAGCGAGCGAGAGAGACCCGTCGTTTTGTTCCGAATTGGCAGCGGCCTGCTACCCGACTCACTGCGTTGAATGGTTTGTTTCAGCGCAGATTAAGAAAATGCATTGGCAGTGTTTCAAAAAGTCCGAAACAATGGTGCAGAAGAGTTTAATCGCCCTGCATCCCGAGAGCTGCACTTTATAAAGAAAGAAATAACCAAACAAACTGTTTGGGCACTGTCCCTTGACGGTAATAAACTATCAACGTAGTTTATGCAGCCCTGGTGT